TACAGCTCGAACGTGTTCTGAACCTGTTAGGGTGTTCTCTGATCACAGCCTGTCCCATTCGTGAATGTCAGGGCAGACGTGTCCTGGCATGGACACCAACAATATGCAATAAAAATAGAGACTGATGTGTACGTAGGAATTTTCCAAGAAAAGATGACAGAGCGTACTGGTTTATTATTTGATAGTAACTGTACAGCTGTGTATTAGATGGTGAAGACAAATTATCTGAATAGCAATAGACTGGGAAACAGGGAGATGCATCCAGACCTGGGTGTCCTTATTCGCTAATCATTGTCAGTAAGCATCCAGGTGCAATAGGTGGTGAGGGAGGCTAATGGTATGTTGGCCTTCAGAGTGACAGGATTCGCGTACAGGAGCAGGGATGTCTTGCTGCAATTGTTATCGGCCTTGGTGAGACCATACCTAGGGCATTGTGTGAAAATTTCATCTCCTCGTCTGAGGAAGGATGTTCTGGCTACAGAAGGAATGCAACAAAGGTTTACCAGGCAGAACTGATGTACAAAGAGAGACTGAATCCGTTCGGACTACATTCGCTGGAGTTTAGAAGAAATCTCATAGAAACCTGTAAAATTCGATGAGGGCTAGACAGCGCAAATGCAGGAAGGATGTTCCTGATAATCAGAGAGTCCAGAACCAGGACACTCAGTAGAGATACGGGGTAGGCCATTTAGAACTGAAACGGGGAGAAATTTCTTCACCAGAAAATAACAGAAATAGATGAAATAAGGATTATTCAGATTTCAATGAAAAATGGAATGAACATTCTCCATTGAGTGCTGGACAGCAAACAGAAAGCAAGGTGAGAAACCTACAGAAGACTTGGCATGAAGAGTTACATGGAAGCTGAACTGTTAATGAGAGGGTGTGGAGCCGGTGGAATTCTCTGCCACAGAGAGTGGTTAAGACCAAAACTTTGAATGTTTTCAAGAGAGAGTTAGGTATGTTTCTTGGGGATGAAGGAATCAAAGCATATGTGGAGAACCGGGTACTGAGACGGATGATCAGTTATGTTCATACTGAGTGGCGGAACAGGCTAAAGGGGCTGAATGACCTACTTCTGTTCCTATTTTCTATATTTCTAATGTAAATCATACAGAATAAAAGAAAGAGAGTTTGCACTTCCTAGCTTCACAAAAACAGTCCAAGCCAGTACCACTGGGGGTTTAGGCCACAGAGCCTGTCCTAAGCTGCCCCAGTAAATGCCCAGGGACTGGTGCCAAGCCCAGCTGATTGCACTGGAAAGCCTTTTTGGTTCTGAAATAACTGCACAGAGGCTGGTATCCCGTCACCCAGTCACCCTTTATTTACTTGGGCAGAGTACACTGACTGTGGCCGGCCAGTTCAGAGTCATTCCCCCAAACGGAGGAGATTCCAAATCTCTGGGTTATATTGGTCAGCCGGCGCTTTCCTGATTGGCCCAGGTTAACAACCCCAATCAAGGATCTCATAGACAACAAGATCAAAGCTGGTTCCAATCACTATAGGTTGCAGCTGTACAAGGTGCTGGTGAGGCCACACCTAGAGTACTGTGTGCAGTTTTGGTTTCCTTATTTGAGAAAGGATGTACTGGCACTGGAGGGGGTGCAAAGGAGGTTCACTAGGTTGATTCCGGAGTTGAGGGGGTTGGCTTATGAGGAGAGACTGAGTCGATTGGGATTATATTCATTGAAATTCAGAAGATTGAGGGGGGATCTTATAGAAACATATAAAATTATGAAGGGAATAGATAAGATAGAAGTAGAGAGGATGTTTCCACTGGCAGGTGAAGCTAGGACAAGAGGGCATAGCCTCAAGATTAGAGGGAGCAGATTTAGGACTGAACTGAGAAGGAATTTCTTCACCCAGAGGGTTGTTAATCTATGGAATTCCTTGCCCAGTGAAGTAGCTGATGCTACTTCAGTAAACGCTTTTAAAAAAAAGGTAGATTTTTTTTGAACAATAAAGGAATGAAGGGATACGGTGAGAACGCGGGTAAGTGGATTTGAGTCCACGAAAGGATCAGCCACGATCTTATTGAATGGCGGAGCAGGCTCGAAGGGCCAGACGGCCTACTCCTGCTCCTAGTTCTTGTGTTCTTGTGTTGTGTTCAAACAAAGCCCAATGTGAAAGCTGGCATCTCCTCCAAGACTGACCAGCAGATGCCACACACGCTAGTCTGCCTCCGGATTTGTTTCTTCTTTGAGGTATTTATTCCCTGTGTTTATTGCCCCTTTCCTGGTTCGCTTTCTAAATGCCCTTCGCTTCTGAAGAAGAGTTCACACATGCCCCTCCCCTCCCCCATCCCTGCCCAAACTCTACTGTTTTGTTTCCCACAGACGTTGCCTGGCCTGCTGAGTGCTGCCAGCTGAACTCGAGTTTTTTTTTTAAAAGAAAGGCTATGATTTGCAGTCCATTCCCGCATCTGTTTCTGGGGCTAGAGCATTTGGAATTATCCAATACATTCCAATTAAACAAAGTCGAAATTTGGTGCAACAAAATGTCATTTGCCAGATAATTCGAATGAAGCAACGAGCTGAATAAAGTGAGCCGATCTCAGCGAGCAGTGTTCCTAGCTCCCTTTGCTGAAAAATCTTCAAACTTTTGTTTTGAGTTGCAACAAGTACACAGCACCAAAGATTTTGATGAGATAAAGAGGGCCGCTTCATACATGTCCACACTCCCAAAGGTGTAAGTAAATGGACAGGACGGTGAACATCCAAAAAAAAGACACAGCAAACAATCAGGTCATAAATTCCAACTTTGAATACACTCCTCCAATTTTTTTTAACCAAGCATTCTAATGTATAGAACCAATTTTTAAAAACTAAAAACAAATTCAACTTTGCTTGACTGCTTTTTTCTCTTCACCTATGTGCACTTCTTTCATTTTTAAGAGCTTTGTTAGACTTTTTAAGGCATTCTTTATTTCAATTTATTACAGAAATTTTTTTCCTATTGCACCTGCTCCTGGTGCCATCAAACTCAGCCTTACGTATTTGGGGTCCAACTGTTTCTGGCTGTTTCCTTCCTCCAACGTAACTCTTTCTGGACTTAATACAAATTCTCACCTCCTTTAGGCAAAAAGCAACAAATGTGACTGACTGCTACCAAAATGTTGAAGGAATCCAATTCCATTAAAGCTTGCGTGGCCATTTTACCTCTTCTGACTGCAGATCTATAAATCCCATTTTATTTCCAACCAAGAATGCTCCAATGGAAAAAAAAGCACTGTTAATACCCAGAATGGGAGGATGAAAAGCAGACGGAGATGTGTGAGGAAATCTTCAAGCCTGAAACTGTTAAAACATCTTCTGCAACATTCCTCGTGCAAAGCTGTTCGCCCTGAAACTTGCCTCGAGGCATGAATCATTGGGAGAGATAGTTCTGTGAGGTGCATCAGTTTTTCCAAAACTCATCAGTGACATTTATTAATCTTCATACCTTCAGTCTTGGGATCTCACAAAAATATCTGTAGGTATAGTTCAGAACAAGAGTGCTGGAGATTCATCAAGTGTTATATTTCTGAAAATTTATGCTTAATTATCGTCAAAGGTTATTCTATACTTGACAACGCAGCCTGAACAACACTTGAAATAGTCAAGGTGCCAGGGACCTACACGAGTCAACAATTTTAATTGACATTCAGAAGGAGTGATTAATTGATCTTTGGAGAAATGATACAGTGCAAAAGCAGGTCATTTGGCCCTTTTTTCATCTTGCAATAACAAATCACAAGTGTATTGACCAGCCATACACAAACAACCACTGCTTTCCAATCATAACATCTGATATTAAAGCCAGCCCAAGTCAGATACAACAGTCATTTTAAAATAAATGCTTGCAAAGCAACAATGACCTAAAATAAATAGAAGCAAAACTATTCAAATCAAGCATTCCAAAGTAAAAACCCACATGTTTATGATGGTTTTGTTTCTTTTGTGCCTGCCACTGTAATAGAATTTGACTGCTGCGATATGGAGTCAGAAATGAAGAAAGTGTGTGTAATTGCACACTTTGGCAGAGAAATGAGTGACGGGCATCAGTAGAGGAGATTATTTTTCTGAAGTTGGAGGTGGTAAAATCTGTACGGCAACAACATACAAACGGCAGAAATAAGAGTGACCCTGCACCAGAGGGGCCCCTCCATCATTCATTATCTCACAGCTCAGCTTCTACATCAACTCTATTTTCCTGTGAAATCTTCATGTCCCTCGATTCCCTTACTGCCAAAAATCTATTGATCTCAAACTTGAACCTATTCAACAACAACTAAGCATTCGCAAACACCTGGCGTCGAGAATTCCAAAGATTCACAAACCTGTTGGTGAGGAAATTTTTTCTGAATCTCTGTCCAAAATGGCTAACCCCTCATTCTGGGACTTTGACCCCCACTTGGAGTCTCTGTAAAGGGGAGAAACAGCCCCTTTACATCTACCCCATCAAACCCTCAATAACATTCACATGTTTCAACGAGATCACTTCTCATTCCTCTAAACTCTGGAGAACATAAGCCCGTTCTGCTCAATCTTAATTTGACAGAGCAACAGTGGAAGCCATATTAAAGGCTGTGGTTGCCATACCAATGCCGACATTTGCAGAAAAATTAGTCACACTGAGTGATGATTAATTTTATCCTATGACAGAAGAGTATTCAATGGAAGAATCATTTATAATATCTTGTATCTGCGTGTTGAAACTCTCTTTCCTGAATTAAAGCAGTGAATTGACTTTTACAGTATAACTCTATTCAATGGGATTCTTCTGCCATTATCTTAACAGTGGAGAAAATTCAAGCCACATTTTCCAGAGTGATAGACATCCAGGGAAGAGAGATAATCCATTCAAATTTCACAAACAATTTCCTCGCTGCAGAACATGCAGAACCAACGAAACATGACATGACATTGCTGTTAATGCTGGGACAAGCCATTGGCTGTCCAAACCACATTCAGTGTGTCACGAGAGAACTCGCTTGAGATTGAAGAGATAATTTCACCCACTTGTTTCCCAGGCTGTGGCTCTTCCTGTGTCTCGGCACTGGGGGAGTGTTCAGGCTGCCCATTACAGAGGCATCAGGGCACGTTGGCCTACGACTGTACCTCACTGAGGCAGAAACCTCAGAGGGACCTGAAAAGAAACAAGAACAATCATTCACAAAAATGTGCAGCTTATCAGGAGTGGTAAGACTGATTTCCAAATACAAACACAGGCTTTTGAAGAGTTGCAGAGTTTTAAATTATTATCTAATAAGGATATCTTTTACTAACACATTAAACAATTTAGTCAACAGAAAGCACTGTTCATCTTCAGTGGCATAAATGAAAATACCACAGTAAAATCCTAAAAAGACCTTTAGCTTTTTTTTAATATTCATTTTTGTGGGATGTGGTCATTGCTGACTGGCCAGCATTTATTGACCATCCCTAGTGGTCCTTGAGAAGGTGGTGGTGAGCTGCCTTCTGGAACCACTGCAATCTACCTGCTGTGAGTTGACCCACAATGCCATGAAGGAGGGGAACTTGAAGGCGGTGGTGTTCCCATGCATCTGCTGCCCTTCTAGATGGAAGTGGTTAAAACAAATACGTTATTATGGGACACATTAATCACAAATACAGCTCCACTTAAAGGGCATCAACTGCAAACTGAAGTGTTTAACAAACCTATGAGGGATGTATTTTTAATAATAAATGGGTATGTCACAATGAGGAGGATTAATGACATCTCCTTACACTTGGAAGAGATTGATTTGGTTGAACGTCAATTCCTTTCCTAATAGTTTGCACGAACATCTCCATCAACGCAGAAAAATCTAGAGTTCAGTGCAATTTAGATTTACAAAGTATTCTCTGGTGAGCACGCAGTGTAAACATGAGAATTGTCGGACATCTGCATGATCTGGCATTCACTCAATATGCAGACATTACCCAATAAGTGAGTACACTGAGAGATAGATCATCATTCAATTGGGCAAGGCCAATGATCATGAGGCAGCCTTGTTAAAACAATTTTATTTGTTCCATTCATCAGACAGAAACGAAACAGGCTAAACCGGTATTTATTGCCATCTCGGATTACTCATGAGAAGGTGGTCATGAACGATGTACCTGTAGTGTTGTTAGGGACAGAGTTTTAGGGTTTTGCGACAGTGAATGAATGGTGATATACTTCCGATTGAAGATGGTATGTGACTTGGAGTGGCACTTGCAGATGAGCAACTCCTCTTCATATACTGATGTAGGTCATGCCCATAAGGAGATCACATTGATATGTAATACATTCAGAGACTCAAATACCTATTTCAGTCACTGCTTTGCAACTCATTGGCTATTCCCCAGGCAACATGAAACAAAATTACCCCTCAGCAAGAGCCCAACATTGGGAATCCCAGTGTTTATATTGCAGGAAATGACAGCTTCTCAACACATGGCACACCAATGTTAACCTGGAAATGCGTTTATTTATCATAAAATATTGAAGCAATCTCAAATGTCTGAAGACAATATCTACAGTTGAGCCTAAACTAACTTTAACAAAACTGTTTATTGTTTTGTGATAAGGTTCATTTCCGCAGAGACTGCTGTAACAATGGGAGGCTAGAGATCACTTAGTTTTTGCCTTGATCATAATATTAATGTAGACATTTATTTCGTACCAAAGTTACCATTTTGCTCTCACTAGCAACTGCAAAATCCTCATTTGAAAATGTACAAACTTAATACCAAAGTTACTTTTGTTAAATATAATATCTTCATATAGTTTTTGATTGACTGCTGGAGTTTAATGATGCCCCCTCTCCCCTTACCCTCATCCTAAGCCTATTTTGTGCTAACTTCTTCTGTGTGCTTGGCAGAGACTTTTAGCCTGCTCGCTTCTCCTGCAGGACATTGTCACCCTCTGGCACTTCAACCCCAAATGGCCCGTCTTCACATTAAAACCATTTTGCTACTCAATTGCAGCATGTAGCACAGTCATTTGTCACTGGGTACAATCCAGAATTGGAATTTTGGCTGACTTCTCCCTTCTGTAATCCAGATGACCCTTGACCCGGGACACTGCTCCATTGCAAACAGCTGCCCACTTTAGCCTGGGGATTGAAACTGGTACCTTCCCACTTTGCTGAAATCTGGGCAGTTGCACAGTTTCCCAGTTCATCTCTGACTTGCTGTTTGATTTTTCTGATCTGTCCTTTCTGATTCTAATTGTTCTTTATTTAACTTCATGAGACTGAATAAACATATACCATATTGGATGGAGCTCTCTTTACAGTTACAGCTGTTCTCCCTTTCTCTATGTCAAACCCAGCAGCCACTTTTGCACAGAAGCAAATTTAAACACTCGTTTAATATAATCCATGTTTAGGATACACACCAGTTGGGGAAGTTGCTGTGGGGGTTTTTAATGGGTTTAATAGGGGGATGGGGATTGGGAGTGGGCCGCTGGGAAACACAGGTTAACAGTAACTTAAACTTTCAAAGTAGTGCATGGGAGAGGGTATATCTTCCTTTCTGCCCCCACTGAAGGTCTGGATGTTATATTGAGCTTGAAATCAAAAGCATCTTCTGACAGAAGAAGTCAGAAACAGACAACATGGTCCTCTCTAAGTGGTCAATCCCAATTTTCATCTATTGACCAGGCTCCCATCTGTACAATACACTATTGTTAGAGATGTAGGATTTGGTATATTCTTAGACAATTAATGTTTTTGTTTTCTTTTCACTTCTAAATAACTTGTGGCCTTGCATCTCTGGTTTGGAATGATAAAATAGTTAAGTAGTAATGAGTGACATAAAGCAAGAAAACGCTTCATCAACGAGAAGTGTTTGTTAATGTAATGGGACGTCCAGCGGCAGTTGGTGATGTTGATGGAGGGCACTAAACAAGGGAATGGAGCAGTTCACTCGGAGCTCCACCAGGACGCAATAATGAGAAGGCTGGGCAGCAGGAGCAGTTGAATGGACTGTTGCTGAAATAAAGGATGTCTTTCATGGAAGCGGGAGAAGTTAGATAAAGGATTCCTCAGCCTGAAGTAACCAATAGGCTTTGTTCTGTGTACACACTGTAAATACTTTGTTTATTCTTAATTTCCCTTCCTATTCACCATGATCTAGTACCCGTAGAATAAAGAATCCCTGCTTCATGATCTTTAGGCCTTCCATCTGTTCAAATCTCATGTTACATTAGCCAGACAGCTGAATAAATGATCTGTTGTTTCTTCAAAAAGAGATGAGTTAATATCATAGAACGAAGAATATCTACTGGAAAGGAAGAGCCAATCATGTGGCACAGCTCTCTGCAAACACACATATTAAAAACAGGAGATAACAAGGTGTAGAGCTGGATGAACACAGCAGGCCAAGCAGCATCAGAGGAGCAGGAAGGCTGACGTTTTGGGCCTAGATCCTTCTTCAGAAATGAATTCCTGCTCCTCTGATGCTGCTTGGCCTGCTGTGTTCATCCAGCTCTACCACCTTGTTATCTCAGATTCTCCAGCATCTGCAGTTCCTACTATCTATTAAAAACAGGAGTAGGCCAGTTCGCCCCTTTTGCTTGCCCCACCATTTATTAAGATAATGGCTGATGTGATTCTTGCCTCAAACCACACATTTTCTGGAACAAGAGGTATCAGTTGTGTCAAGGGTATCTACTTCCACATTAAAAATATTGAATATCCCTACCTCCAACAATCTCAAGCAAGAGACTTCCAAAGAGTCATGTCCTTTGAGGAGAAAATTCCTCATCTCTCTCCTTATGTTTAAATTGTATCTCCTCATTCTACTCTCTCGTACAGGGGGAGGCATCCTTTCAGCAGCTTCTCTGTCAAATCACCTCAATAAGATGAAGATGTCACAGAACTCGGCTTGTCCCACTCCTTCGCCCTTACCTTGTAGCTTTGCAATGTCATTCTCTCCATGTGCTTAGCCACTTTGAAAACCACAAATTGTATCCGTTTCCCTATACCCACAGTGAGTGCATTCCAGATTTTAAACACAACAGAATAGGTATTTCCAAACAATCTTTTCAGAGATGTCACCACCCACCTTTGGAGCATATGAACCTGGGTCTCCTGGCACAGGGATAGAACACCGGGAACAAACAGCATTAATGATTTAGGGGACAATTAGGAAACATCTCATTTTATAAGATAGCTGTGTGTGACAATGCATAGAGATACAAACAGTGTAGTTTGCACACTCTGTACAGAAGGAAGACGTGTAATATTCTCTATTTCACTGAAGGAGCACTTGTTTTTACAGCATTGAGTCCATCCATCAAGTCTTGGCCAAACTCAACAAAGGCTATTTGGGTTAGATTCAAGCACTTTACACACCACAATCATCAAAATAGAAGTGTTGACAAACTAATAGCATGGAAATAAGCTCTAAGTATAGGGCTTAAGCTCCCATTCTACAAAGTATTCACTCGGCAGATAGAGTTAATATTGCACTTCTAATCTCACTCAGTACTCATAAAGCATTGCTCTGACACCATAACGATCGGTCCAATCAAGAGAAAATTAACAATCCCTCGGCACCAATCAAGGAGCTGCAGGGAGTCCTGACATTAACCATCATCGCAAAAGCAAACAAATTAACTAGCTATTCATTCCATTGCGATTGGAGAGATGATTCAGGTGCAGAATAATTGCTGCATTTGCCAAGCTAACTGCAAGCATTTCATTCCAGATGCCATTCATCGTGTAAAGTGGTTTGAGACATTTCACTGAGCTCTGCTGCTTTATAATGGATCTCACAGATGATAGGAGACTGAAATCATACATTTCCTCATATCCTGCCTCTCTTAATTATATTTTGAAAGCTTTCATTCCCGTCCAATTACAGGAAACAGTTGAAATTTTACAATCTTTACTTTTTAAAGGAGACGGCCCATTTGAAAGTAATGGTTTCCAATTAAAGAAAGGAATACACAGCCTTTTCACCCAGTTAATGTCACTGAGCTCCTGTCAGGAAAGCTGCTATTTTGAACTTCACTACAACAGAATCTTCTCCACATTACCAAATTTAAAAGTTGTGACAATCAACCAACAAGGAAACTCCTGGTCCAAACAAAAATTACAGCAATCAAGTTATTGCTAGGTCACGATTCCATTGTTTCTGTCTAATTTGTCG